TTTCTGATAAATGGTAACAAAATGATAAAAAAATGCCAAAAAATGTTGCTGATTATATATATTTATATATATCTGACAAGTGAGCAAAGTATTGCTGACAAATCATTAAACATTGGTGACAAACTAACAAAGCATTGTGGACAAGGAAACAAAATACTGCTGACAAAACATTAAAAATTCCTTACAAGCAAACAAAGTAGCTGCTGATAAGTTATCAAAATATTGCTAGTAAGTCATCAAATATTGCTCACAAAACAATAAATATTGCTGACAAGCAAACAATGTATTGCTGATAAGTCATCAAATATTGCTGACAAGTCAGGTTAAACTTTATATTTTCTGGCATCACCATCTATCTAATATTATGGCTGACAAGTTGACAGTCTAGTCTTGACAATGGAAGGAGTAAAAAGTCTACATGTTATTGCTGACAAGTCAGCACTTTCTAATTACAGACAATCTGAATAATAATTAAGTGAATAATTTAGTCAATCTTTTGAGATGTCAGCAGCCCATAGGCTGACAAGTCATAATTATGTCTAAAGGTAATAAGGCAATTCAGACCTATGTGACAAATAAAACAAATTTATGTCAAACCGGCCTTAAAGATCTAATGAACCATAAAAAGAAATCTTTCGGAAAGATGATTGAAAATAATTGACCTAGATTATCATTACGACCATTAGGCGATTATAGTCTTAAAATAGCATTGATTTCTTATTCATTGACCTATTTACTCCATATGTTACAGAGATTAATAACTGAACTGTATTGAATATATAGTCTTAAAGGAATCAAAATTCATACAAATATCATGGCCTTGGGAGTTATTAAGTGTTTTTTTTCTACAGAAAAAGATAGAGGCCAGAAGGCAAGAACATCAAAGACAAAGCACATCAGCATTTGATAATGTTGGGATAAAAAGGCACTCTTATTTTAATAACAGGCCAATGGCCTCAATACTTCCATAGTTAAAAACCCTGAATCATCACCTTGGTGCAATAACAGATTGACTATTATTAAATTTAGAACGACTTATTCTGTTACTGCTCTAAGGTGACAAATATTATAATAACTGTTATCAACTTTAGGAAAGAGAGGTGAGAATTATGTGAAAACAGCAGCTGCAAGTATAATGCTCAGTATTGATACAATCATATACTGGTCCTCCAAAAATAATTTTCACAATTATTTCACAACAAATATTACCATATCAATTTCACACCCAATTTTTGCAGTCAACATTATAATACAACTACAAATCATTAGCTTTAACAGAATTGTGAATGTCAATCCAAACATTCAGCAATCTAATGGTACTTATATTTGACGGCATTATCTATTTATAGCAGAAATTATGATACCTGTATATTAATTTGAAAAAACATTATTTTTTTGTTGAAAAAACACAAATTTTCGTGGTGTTCCTGTGTATCAGTCCAGTGTCATTTTGAAGATCCAATTGAAGTTTTATTACCTCAGATATGAAGTATATTTTGCATTCCTGATAATTTGCATTTATTTTTCATTTTTATTAAATAAAACATAACAAAACAAAACCCCAAGAAAATTTATTCCCATGTTATTACGGTAAGTAATTCATCACATTGCTCACATTTCTTTTTCTTTTTTCTTGTTTTTTTTTTTTGGTTTGGGTTTTTATCCCAACTGGTTTTATGTCCCAACTAAACACTGTAGTGTAGGACATATGCCCACCTACCTGGGCTTAAATGGATGAGGAGGACCTCAGGCAACCTTCCATGCATTGTTTCAGGCGCATTTCTGGCACCCCAGTCAAACGGCATATAGTTGCTCCTTAAGCTTAAGCTGGATAGCTTCGTCTCACATTTCTTATGTTAGAGACTTAAACATTTGCTGTCATATCAGACACTGGGAAGAAGTTTAGAGCTGTCACATACATCACTGACCCGAGTCACGTTAGTGTCTGAATGCTGACGTCAATGACACACCTCTAAGGATTGTTCATTATCACGATATAATGTTACCATACATCATGTTGCTATAGTAACATGACATAATATATTGTCACTTCATAACCTTTGTCTTGTAATGATAATTATTAATTTTCCTCTTACAAATACCTTAAAAATATTATTGAACTGTGTAGAAATTTATTGAATAAAACCATGTCATGTGTTAAATTAACAAATATTCACTACTGTTATGTATCATGTGTTATATTGTATGTAACTTGAGTTAATAAAGATATGTTCTGTTCTGTTCTGTTCTGTAAGAAGACTGTAATGATAACTATAAATTTTGTACATTATGTTTGAAGATTTGAACTTAAAATGACATTATGTTTGAAGATTCCATCTTAAAGTGACATTATGCTCATATTTTTATTGTCAAGTTGGTTAATGACTACATGTATATATTTCAAAAGAATGACTGTTATAATAGTGATTAACCAACAATTGATATTTTCATGTTAAGGATAGAATCTTATTCTGCCTACAATATAAAGAGATTGCCCCAGTCTCTTTTTATAAATTGAATGTTATTTGTAAATTATGAAGGATATTTACAGAAATTTCCTTTGGTGACACACGAGTTTTATTGTTTATGTGTAGTAGATTTTAAAATGGACAGGAATTATGGCAAAATGTAAACAATTTTTATGACTTACATCTTTTCACTCATTGTATATACCCTTATTATTGGCATAAGCCGATAAGGTCACTTTAATTTTGAACATTTATAGTAGATTAAAGCTCATTAGTGTGTACAGTTATTGAATGTTATTGAAGCTAAATTCTGTTCATTTATAGTAGATATATAAATTCTGTTCATTTATAGTAGATAAATTCTGTTCATTTATAGCAGATACTTAAGTAAGAGCAAAAAAAAATATATATATACAGTAATAGATGTCATGTCATTATAATGTCACCTTAGTGCAGTAACAGGTTAACTTCATACATATATAATATAATAGGAGATAATCCATTAATGCACTTAGATGACAAATTACATTATGTTGTTTCTACTATTACATGCTCTAATCAACAAATTTATCATTTTAAGACATTAATCAATGACATAAACAGCTGTTAGAGGGGATTTATAATCTTTGTTCCACATACAATGTCATATTATAACACAGTGTGAAGGACATTATGAGATAATATGGCTCTTTATATATATCTGCAGGGCTGGGCCTTTAATGATGCTAGTATCAGAGACTGATGCTAGGTTCATGACACATTCAATGCTCTTAATATTGAGCTAAGCAGATATACTGCAAGTACCAAATACTACCATGATTTGATATTTGGATCATAGTTTAATGCTACAATCAGGTTTGATGCTAGGATCTGGGTTTGTTTGAGTTAATGCTAGGATCATGGTTTGGATGCTAGGAACATGGTTTGAATACTCTAAGGATCATGGTTTGAATGCTAAGATCAGTGTTTGATGATAGTATCATGGTTTGAATGCTTAAAGGACCATAGTTTGGATGCTTAGGACAGAGTTTGATGACAGGATTATGGTTTGAATGCTTAGGTCAGAGTTTGATGATCTAAGTATCAGTGTTTAATGATGCTGTTTAATGATGGGAAAAGGTAAGTGCCATAACATTTTACATACAAAACGTCAATAATAAATTCTGAAATACAGCAAACTGAAAACTGAGCATAAAAAATAAGCTTTTCTATTTTAATTCTACTCTTTCAGAAAAAAAAAAGCATTCAATTTTTGCTCCAAATAAGGCAATGACAATATGTACAAGTGAGAAATTAATTAGTGCGACAAGTTGACGTCAACTACCCATAGAAACATTGGACAGCTAATAGATAGCCTTGTGATATGATTTGATTACATTATCATTGAATGTTAAGACGTTAGGAAACAGCTGTCGCATGTGACCTCTCGTGTCAAATAAGAATTTACCATTACTCTGGCTTGACAATGGCCTTAAGATATTATGGTTTCTAAATATAAAGCTGATTTTTTTTTCTCCCGATTGTACTGCATGTTATCAAGCAATATTGTTTTTCCAAGTTTTAATTAGTTGAGTAAAACCATGGATTACATGTGTAGCTCTTGTGTAAATAACATAATAAGCATTAATTTGTTTTCCTCATAAACAGTACAGTCTATATAACTCATAAACATTAATCAGTATTCCTCATAAACGGTGCAGCATATAATTATGTCTCATTCACATGGCAGTCTATGTATCTCATAAACATTAATTTGTATTCTTCATAAACAGTACAGTTTATATAACTCATAAACACTAATCAGTATTCCTCATAAACGGTGCAGTATATATGTCTCATTCACATGACAGTCTATGTATCTCATACACATTAATTTGTATTCCTCATAAACAGTGCAGTATATATGTCTCATTCACATAGCAGTTTATATACCTAAACATTGATTTGTTTTCCTCATTAACAGTGCAATATATATGTCTCATTCACTGTTTATACCTCATAAACATTAATTTGTTTTCCTCATAAACACTACAGTTTGTATTCCTCATAAGTATTCAAGTTTACATATATAAAACATTAAAGATTATAACTTTATAGCCTCGTTGAATCAATGAATTGAACATATTTCCACATAAGAATTTCATTATGATGAAACATGAGGAAGAAACACTTATCTAATACTGAAATATAAATAATACAGGCCTTAAAGAAGTAATGAATATGACCAATTGGACAATGAGATGCCTTTTTCTTTCACAAAGATTTTAAGGAACAAAGAATATGTGAGCCGCGTCATGACAAAACCAACATAATGGGTTTGCGACCAGCATGGATCCAGACCAGCCTGCGCATCCGCACAGTCTGATCAGGATCCATGTTGTTCGCTATCAGTTTCTCTACTTGTCATAGGGTTTGTAAGCGATCAGCATGGATCCTGATCAGACTGCGCGGATGCGCAGGCTGGTCTGGATCCATGCTGGTCGCAAACGCACTATGTTGGTTTTGTCATGACGCGGCTCATGTTGTACTTACTTATACCAGCAGACCCCTGCCATGATGAGGCCCACCAACCCAGCTACACTGCAGGCCGACACCACAGCTGAAATGTTAAAATCAGCAAAATAACAATATCATGTGTGTAAATGATAAAAAAATAAATATCTCACCAAAACTACTATTTTTTCCAATCCACTGTCCAATTTAAACACCTTATAGATTGTGTGGTTTTCCTGCCAAAAAAGAGGAGTATTGTTTAAAGGGTAACATTCTACTTATATATGTGTGAGGGTATACTAAAGGTGATCAGCAATAGCCAAGTGTATATGCAGACACAAAGTGTACGGCCAGGAGATTACTGGCAACAATTAATGATGCTGACAGCAACCAATGTGCATGCTGGTCAGATATAAACCAATGTGCATGCTTGTAAGACATCAACCAATGTGCATGCTGGTCAAACATCAACCAATGTGCATGCTGGTCAGACATCAACCAATGTGCTTGTTGGCCATACATCAACCAATGTGCTTGTTGGTCAGACATCAACCAATGTGCATGCTGGTCAGACACCAACCAATGTGCATGCTGGTCAGACATCAACCAATGTGCTTGTTGGTCAGACATCAACCAATGTGCTTGTTGGTCAGACATCAACCAATGTGCATGCTGGTCAGACACCAACCAATGTGCATGCTGGTCAGACATCAACCAATGTGCATGTTGGCCATACATCAACCAATGTGCATGTTGGTCAGACATCAACCAATGTGCATGCTGGTCAGACACCAACCAATGTGCATGCTGGTCAGACATCAACCAATGTGCTTGTTGGTCAGACATCAACCAATGTGCTTGTTGGTCAGACATCAACCAATGTGCATGTTGGTCAGACATCAACCAATGTGCATGCTGGTCAGACACCAACCAATGTGCATGCTGGTCAGACATCAACCAATGTGCTTGTTGGTCAGACATCAACCAATGTGCTTGTTGGTCAGACATCAACCAATGTGCATGCTGGTCAGACATCAACCAATGTGCATGTTGGTCAGACATCAACCAATGTGCATGCTGGTCAAACATCAACCAATGTGCTTGTTGGTCAAACATCAACCAATGTGCTTGTTGGTCAGACATACACCAATAAGCATGCTGGTCAGACATACACCAATAAGCATGCTGGTCAAACATCAACCAATGTGCATGTTGGTCAGACATCAACCAATGTGCATGTTGGTCAGACATCAACCAATGTGCATGCTGGTCAAACATCAACCAATGTGCTTGTTGGTCAAACATCAACCAATGTGCTTGTTGGTCAAACATCAACCAATGTGCATGCTGGTCAGACATACACCAATAAGCATGCTGGTCAAACATCAACCAATGTGCATGCTGGTCAGACACCAACCAATGTGCATGTTGGTCAAACATCAACCAATGTGCTTGTTGGTCAAACATCAACCAATGTGCATGCTGGTCAGACATACACCAATAAGCATGCTGGTCAAACATCAACCAATGTGCATGTTGGTCAGACATCAACCAATGTGCATGTTGGTCAGACATCAACCAATGTGCATGCTGGTCAAACATCAACCAATGTGCATGCTGGTCAGACATACACCAATAAGCATTCTGGTCGGCCAGCAACCAATTAGCATGCTGGTCAAACATTAACCAATGTGCACACCTTTTTATAAATGGGTTTTCGATGCACCAACACAGTATAGGCCATATGGCGATTTTCAAGCTGTACTCATGGAAGAAGACCTCAGAGGTGCCCTTCTGTGCTTTACTTCAGGGATGAAACCAAGCTACATGTATATTTTATTTTATATTCCATCCAATAATGATTTATTACATAATATAGAATGATCACATGGTACAATTGCTGGAATTTCATTGGTTACATCTCATTAGGTTATAACATTATCCCTGCTATCATAGAAGACAATGGTAAAAGCAGGGTCTTAAATCTGAGAAAAGATAATATAAAACATTTTCTACCCTATGGGAAATCACTTGTCTGCTGAAAGAATTTATGAGAGACTTACAGGAAACAAACTCACATTAGATTTCCTATATATGCTTGAGTGCTGCAAAATTTCTCTAAGAAAATAATCATTTTAAGAGAACTGAGCAGCTGAGATAATATGGTGAAAATATTGACAATATATGGGTATGAACTCTATTGTCAGTCAAACATGGGTAAATACATGTATGGCAGTTCCTCTCTATGTGCATCCCTTTTCCCATTGTCACCATGAGTTAGATCATCACACCCATTCCCAATAGCAAGTATACTTACTTTTTCCCAATCTTTAACAAATAAATCCCAATTGTACTGGAATTCTCTATATCTACACTGACAAATTCGCTGGAGTTAATTCCAGAATGTATCAGACAGATGTTTTCTCAAATTTCAATGTATTTTGTTATGTTATGAACGAAAATTTGTATTGGTTGAAATCAACAATTTTGCACAGGATACAATGTACATTGCCAAAAGAGCATGAAGGAGGTTTCAAAAGGTACCAAATATTTATTCCCAATTAAGCAAATTTACAATGCAAAATTTCCTAAACTGGGGAAGGTACCTTTTCCCAACATGGCTAGGAAAAGGCCTTAGGAAAAGGCCCTGATGTTATAAAAAAAACTTTTTCAGGCCAAGTCAGATTCATGAGAAAATATAACCTTTATAAAAATGTATTTTACAAGCATTTTGTTAAAGCAAAGTAAAAATTACACATTATATTGCTATTATGTAAAATATTTCTTCGTAAACGGCAAAATATAAAATAAACATTGACAAACGGCAAATAAAATTATGGTCAATAAATAATTACATTATAAATATACTAGTATGTCATACATTTCATTATGTAAATGGCTAAATATAAATTACATATTATACTATTATGTAAAATATTTCTATGTAAATCGTAAAATATAAATTACATATTGATACACAATTATGTCAAATATTTCTATGTTAACATAAGTCTTTTTTTTTGTGGGGAGGGGGGGGGGGGGGAGAGAAACATAATCTGACTCTTCAGATAATTCTAAAAAAAATTGCAAAATACTTACCAACAAAAATGAAATCTTTTTTCGGTATAACATCTATATGCTCAGACTGCTGTGCTGTTAGTTTCTCCGGTGGGACTGGATTTGCATGAACATGTTGAATATCCTTGTCAGTTGTTGTTGGTTCAGTTTTCTCTGTTGTAGAAGCCCCAGTGCCGGCTCTTTTAGGTTCTTCTACACCTGTAAACACACAATTATATTATTTTTTTGTGGGGTTTGGGGGTTTGGTTTTACATCACACTAACACAGTATAGACTATAGGTCATATGGTGACTTTCCAATTTACTGGTAAAGGAAAAACTCAGATGCCCTTCTGTGCATTATTTCAGGAATGAATGGGCACCTGAGTAGAACCACCAACGTTCCGTAAGCTACCTAGATAACAGCCCACAGCCTTGGGGGGGGGGGGTGTGTTGATGTAACAATTGTATAAGTATTAACAAGCCAAAAGAGGGGGGAAAAATATTGTTATTGTAGCATACTCTTTTATGATATACAGAGTAATGGTAGCACACAGGTCTATATTTCAAATAAAAAGAACAACAGCTATCAGTAGGACAGCATGCTCGACTATTCCCAGTGCTTCATAGTTAAACAAGAGCTTGGATAATATAGAACTATCTATTTGTTCAAAAAGGGAAATAATTATGTCAAAATCTATGTTAGAGTTATAGACCTTTTACAGAGGTCTCTTATTATGCTCTTAAATAAGTGTGTGAAGTTTCATCCTTATCCCTTCAGTAATTTTGGTGATTCCAACATACACAAAAAAACTTAACTAAACTATTATGCTGACACCAACGTTGACGTCTGGGTGAGTACAATGGCTCTGACCCCATTCTTTGAATAGTAGAGCTTACAAAATATTGAAAAGAACATAACTTTCAGTGCAGCTTAACGAATAATAATTTTTGTATCTTTTATTTGACCTTGAACCTAATTTTGAAAACCTCATTATTTATTTGACTCTTTGATTGCCTGTAACTTAAGATAATATTATCATGTCTCTGTGATCTGTATACTCCCCCCCCAAAAAAAACAACAACAAAAACAATGGATTGTTCCAAATTTAAAGCAGAACAAGTCCTTTAAATACATATTTTGCTGGGTAAAAATATCAATGAATAATTTAACATTAAAGCTGCATGCCTCCAGATGACCCAAAATATTTCAAGAAAATTAAACTTGGGAAAACCATGATAAAACTTTGAAAAAAGTAAACAAATTAAAGATTCAAGTGATAATTTATATCTTATGTGCAATTAATTTTGTATTTTGTAGTATTTATCACCATATTTCTACTGTGTTACTAACGCAATAGGGGCTATTTATGCATATTTTGACCTCTTTTTGGTAATTTACGTGGATTTTAAGTGCCGATTATAATGTGCCAAGTACTTTCTTTGTTCATTTCACAATATTTTACCTTTAAATACATTTTCAAAATTTTCATGAAAATTAAGATGAATCTGGAGGACTGGTGTGCTGCTTTAATATATATCGTCAAAGAATAATTCAACATTAACTCTTATGGTCAATAAATAATTCAAATTGCTGTATAAGTATATATTTCCCTGTCTCGAAAAGTTAGCTTATTTAAAATTGCAGACATTTCGCTGAAGAAATATCAGCAAATCGTGCAAGGGTAGAATTTAATGATAGTTTGGTTAGCTAGAGAAAATTTTAGCAATTTTCGTAAATTCGCTAAATTCACCAATATTTCTGTGTCACTAACTTCACAACTTATACAGTAAACAATTATGATCAATCAATACTTCAACCTTAACATTGGCCTGCCATATAACACTAAACAGTTAAAACTGAACAATGTTGACCAATAAATAATTTCACCTTTAACATTGGTGTCCAATGTATAAACCAACAAAACATTAGCTCCCCTATCTACTGATGCCGGATGTTATTTAAATATCACTTTATGTAGTATAAGAGGAACACAGAGTACAAACCTGCGTTTATTTCATTTATTTCTTTTTCACTAGGTATATCTTCAAAACTGTTGTCCACTGCTGCGAAGTTGATGCCCCCATTATTAGACACTGGAATTACATAAATATTGTATAATATATACATTTGAGCCGCATCATGACAAAACCAACATAATGGGTTTGCGACCAGCATGGATCCAGACCAGCCTGCGCGTCCGCGCAGTCTGATCAGGATCCATGCTGTTCGCTTACAAACCCTATACAAGTAGAGAAACTGACAGCAAACAGCATGGATTCTGATCAGACTGCGCGGATGAGCAGGCTGGTCTGGATCCATGCTGGATGCAAACCCATTATGTTGGTTTTGTCATGACGCGGCTCAGTTGTGCATGTGTATATTGATTTTAACATCTTAAGCAAAGCCGTGCACGTTTATAACAGTCGTGATTTACATTTACTGAACAATTTGATTTATTTCAAAATACATTGTAACAAAAACAGATGTGAAAATTTAATATCTGAACAAATAATGGGGGATTGAAAAAAGAAACACCAAGAATCCGCGACAGAAAGCACAATCAGCTTGTATTGGATGCAAATTTGATGGCAAAGTTTTATAGCTTAAAATATTTAACAAAATGCATGTATCGTAAAGCGATTCTTCATAACTGACAACAAATATGGTTTTTCCCTCATCTTACCCTGGGGTAACGTACAAACTTTTAATGTCACAACTTAGTAAATATTACTATAGTCTATTTATTACTAAATATATCGATAATAACGGCAACTCACAACACATGGATCATTTTTTTGTAAAAGATAGTGCACCAAGAAGCTGTAAGGGTCAAACTTTATTTGTACACGGGGATAACAGTGTCTATTCTAGGATTTGAAAAACGGGGGATTTTTATCGAAAGTGAGAATCTATTACATTTGTTGATCTTTTTCCTGCTTTCTCTATGTAAAATTAATCCCCCCTTCCTCTCAAAAAATAGGGGTGAATTTTCAAAAATATGGGTGAATCCCCCCATTGCCACTCCTAGAATAGACACTGGGATTATAGTTGGTAAAAACCCATTTTTGCCACTTAAAGTTCCAAATAAACATGCATTACAAACCTCTTAAATCCCGATTTTCTTGTCGTGTTTTATCCGCATTTAATAAGGTCTTGAGTTTATTTAATTCGTCCAGGTATTTCATATAGTTCCAATACTCTTCTGCCTCAACTAATAAAACAAGAAACAATAATAATAAGTCAATAATAATAAATGCATAATAAAGAAATTCATCACTTCTCATTTGTTTTTACCTATGCTAAATTAAATTTATGTTACTGGATTTGCCCTTCTTACTGGATTTGCCCTTCTTGCTTATACTGGACTAGTTCATTCAAATACGAGGGGATTTTAGTATCAAAATAATTCATACATAAATTTCGCAACTAGCAGTACAGGACATTTTCATCCTATCACCAAGGGCCGATATAAGGTCCCATTCCCAATCCAAGATAGCCTTTCTTTTTTTCCAATTTCAAAAATAATTGAAATTTTTTCCAATTTCAAAAATAAATTTCAATTAACAGCAACCCCAATAAATCAAACTCACTGTTTCAATTTTTCTTCTTTTTTTATTATTAAATAAGAGGCATGCTATATGATCAAACACGTGTTAAAAAAAACCTAAACATGTGTCAGTCTAGTATAAATAAGTGCATGTATGTTACTGTAAAATATTCTCAAATTTCCAAAAATGCCCAATATTTTTTCCAAATTTATGCCAGGGGCCCTTTCCCAAAACAGCTGGAAATATTAAGACCCTGCAGTAATAGATTTGGTCAGGCTACATGGACACACAGGCTAGTCTGGGCTCTAGATTGTGACTATACTATTGGTGAACTTTAAACCCTTTAATATGGAAGTCCCTTTAAAATTTTAATAGACAGAGGAAAAAAATTATGGTGCAAAAATTTCAAAATTGGTCAAAATTCTAAACAGGGAAAAAATTTCCATCAAGCAAACTCAAAGAAGTTTTTATGTTGACTGGTTGGTTTTTTTTATGGCGCTTTTAACACATATTTTTGGTTTGTATCTTGGGGCAGACAGTCCCCCCTTACTGAACTTTCCTGGATATTTTACTAAGCAGATTTTCACAAAATTTTCAATGACCAACTAAAAATCACCACATGAATTTTAAGCCAGTCAGAAACAAAAGGGACAATTAGATTTCAATCAATGTTCCCAAAAATCCAAGACTGTTCCCAAATGGAGAAATTTCACCCCTGCCCCCACAACAAACCAGTGGACCCCTGGGTTACATGTAAATTCACCCAGATTTTAAATAACATCATATCATCAAAAAGAACATAAATTAATAGCAAAGTATAGTACATATATACAATAATCCTTATGAGAGTATATTTTAGCACAGGCTTCACAATCATTGTTTGTTCGTAGTGCATGTGTTTGTTCATTGAAAAGAAAATCTGATTTAAAAGGTATTTGTCTGCAAATTAAAATGTGATCATTATAGCTTAAGATAAAACTTTGGCTGTTTATTACAATATATACAAATAATGTTTATTTAGATTATTTGAGAAGAAGTAAATGTTTTCTTTACATGAACAGATTTAGTTTACAAAAAAAGGGATTTTTTTGGGACATAAAAAAGATTAAAAAAAAAACAGTAAAAACTGTTTTTTTTATTTTTAACATAAATAAAGAAAATTTTTTAATATGGGACCCTTTAAAATTCGTAAATTTATTTGTATGTTCCCGACCCACACAAAAAATATTAAAACCCCCTTTTTAAGGAAAAAAAAAAACAGGGTGTAAACAATAAATTAAAATTTGTACAAAATTTAAAAATTTAACCCGCTTTATCAAAAAACGTTTATTAAAAGTTCATTAATTTTACAGATCTGTCCATTTATTTCATTTTTTTTTTAGTTTTGACGATTCAACACAAAAAAAGGTCATTAAATAATGGCCAGTAAAAACTGACATTGAGAAATACATTACACATATGTACAGATGATGTATCGAAAATTAATTTAACCTTTTAGCCAGCTGGTGACACATGTAACTGACACTAACCAATGTTGGATACAACATGCAGTCACAGAATGAGATCAGTCAGCACATCTGTGTACTGTCTGATCACAGTCTGCATTGTCCACTATTAGGGCAGTATATACTGGTACTTATAATACTGCACGTTTGTAACGTCGCTTTTCATTGGATAATCATGACGTTTATATAGTTTTATATACACGGCTATTGTCGACTCATGAAGAAATCTTACTTTTTTCTCTAAAAAATGATGCTTGCTGTATTATAAATTCGTTATAAAGATTGTTGACAGGTTATATGCCTAGCAGCTCGGGTTATATTTAGAAACAGCCGTTTATATAGGGCCATATAACATTATAAGCTGTCAACAATTTTTATAACTAATAATGTACATGTATTTTGCTATATTCCCTAAAATCCATGAACACTTTTTGTCCAGATTGTCAGACGGGCAAGACCATTTAAGATATTAAGGGTACACATTAATGATAAAATGTTGTAAGAAACACTTAGAAACTGAAAAAATTGGTACACCAAAAATTATTTTCATAAAATAAAATACTGGTTAGGTATCTGCATATATCATAGAATTTAGTATGGTATGTGACAAGAATATGCCCTAAAATTTGTATGTCCATGTGATGGCCATGTATATTTAAAGTTACAAAAAAAAAATGTTGAATTTAAATGTTTATATATAAATGGAATTGAAATGTAAAATTAATTTTAGTATTAAATAAATATCACAAGAAATTCATAAAAAAATTGAATAAAAATAAAACTTGAAAAATATGAACAAGTATAGACCTTCCATGGAATACTCAAATTTAAATACAATTTTATGTTGAAATTACTGAACCATAAAATAAAACTGCATTAATACATGAACTTAGATCCTGTTTGATGAAATTTAGGTTGCTACACAGACAGAATAATTATATACACATACAATCATGTATATCATACTTTCCTTTCAACACATTAGTTTTAAAACATCAAGTAGAATTTGTTAAATTTATAAAAAAAAAAAATTGTATACATTTTAAATAAAACATTTATTTTTTTAAATACTTGTGATTAAATTACAGAGACATAGTTACATTCTATATTACAACTCTTTCAGGAAGATAATGTTTATAAATGATTTTATCCTAGATAATTTTATTTAATATTGCCTGTATCAATGCATTTTTAATGAATATTGTAAGAAAGCTGAATAAAATGTTCTGCTGCTAAATTATGTTAGGCTTTAACCATTTAGCAATGAATTTGTGCATGCACAATTAATTCCCTCTGTAAGACTAAGATACATTCAAACATATAATTTTTTTTTTTGGAATTGTTATTTTTGGTAAAATTCTAACAATGATTTTTAACTTGACCACCCTATGTGACCTTGACCTTGGCAGCATGGGCCTTGATTATGTGCGCAATACTTAGCCTCAAAATGATGAACATCTGTGCCAAGTTACATTAAAATCCCCCGATGGATGTAAAAGTTCTGCTCTGAAGCACTATTTTTAAATGTGACATTAACCTTTAACCTAGACTTGGTTCATGCATGTTACACTGCTTCTCATAGTGGTGAATATTTCTATGAAGTTTCATTATAATCCCTTCATGCATGTAGGACTAGGAGATATGCTCTGGAAAAAATCTCATCTCTATATTTTATCTATAATCATCTTTTGTGACCTTGACCTTGAATATATAAACCTAAATTACATGTTTCACACCTGTAGTCATGATAATGACCATTTATGTTTCATTAAAATTCCTTCATGTGTGTAGGAGAATTATGCTCTGGACAAAATTGGATGCCACCAGCCAGACCGTCCTTTACAATCTGACCCCTTTTTCAAACAGGCAAATAAAAATTCAATCTAAAGTTATGATAAAAAGTAAGTTAAAATAGGACTTCAACTATAGCACAAATTAAAAGTTTTATAAATAGCTCTGCATCATGTTCCCATTTTTAAGGCAAAAAACTTTTGATGTTTTAATATTTTTTTATTACATTGTAAGTACATGTATGTTGACAAGAGTTTTCCCTTGTGCAGGTTTTCTGCATCCCTGAAGCAGGTTTTGGTCTCAGAACTGCCATTATACAAAGCATTGCATCCCAAGGACGCTCAAAAACTCACCAAACATTAAATAGAATTTCATTTTTTTATGGTAATATGACAACATTAGTGTCAATAAAACTTGATCTTCTATACATACACTGGCACCATTTTTTAAGATTACAAGCACAATAAATTAATATGTTATATTCCTTTAAAACTGAAGCCTACAGTAACATGCAAAGTATAAACAATTTATAATTAATTTCAGTTGGTGAATATGGGAAAATTTGTCATATGGTCACTCCAAAAATCTCAAACAATAAGGGTCATGGCCCACTGTCTGAAATTTTTTTTCAGGAAAACCCTGTACACCTTCATTACATCTGGCATCAGGGCTGATTTATTTTATTCTGATGAATGAAGAATTTTGACTGGACTTTTCTCCAGAAACTGGAGAAAAGTGAGATGTAACAATCATATTATTTTAACACTTTCTTTGATTTTTTTTTTCAAAGTTACCATACATGTCCAGTTGTATAAGGGCATCCCATCTTTATTCCCCTTAAAAGTTCAAAGGTGGATAACTGTCACCGTGTGCACAGAAGTGATGATTTTTCATGCCTGTATTTATGATATGTAAAGACTAAAATCTCAATAATGTCAGCATTTTTACTGAACATGTGGTCTGAATAATACATGTACTTGTATGGTATATATGATTGACCCTGTCTGATTTTACCGGACATATAGGGGGGTCCCCTTTTTTCTGATTGACAAATAAAAAACATTATAATTTTTTTTAATTCCCTTTACATGAACAAAAAAACAGTTTTAACTTGATAAACACAATCTTTTTTTAATAAAATTAATCAATGCAAGAAAAATTGAACTTTTCCATTGCCCCTTAGTCCACTATATCAGACGTTACGGGCTTGTTAATTATAGTTTATGTCCGTCAAGCCCTGCCCAGGAGCAAATATATCTCAAAAGGACGTCATATTTATAGGACTACAGTTGACCTATAAGTATATTAAGTTGAACCGTTACAAGTTGGTTACAAATGGTATAAGGATCCACATTGCAAAGCTGTCTAAATTTATTCATTACTTAAAAGGGCATCTTAATCAAAGGTAACAAAAGATATCTGGACACACAGCTATTTCAGTAAATTCCAACGCTGCGGCAGCTGAAAACTGCCACAATATATAATTCTATATATAATTTTATGATTTGCAGCGATCTTAGCTACATATGACAATTATGTTAACACCAACACTATCACATATTTTGCGGCAGGGTTTTGGCAGTTTACAATCTGCGAAATGACTTCAATTATGTCAAGACCTATTTCTCAGCAACTGGCATTCAAAAAGTGTGTTTAGCCTGTACCATACCGTAAATATATATGTTCTCTTGATTTTTTTTTGCATAGATATTCTATCACTTGTATTTTTCAATTATCAACAGGTGGTAGACTGTTGTTTGCAGTAAAATTAAAAGAAGTGCAAACAAATTATCATTGAAAAATCAACAAAGTTTGACAATCTAACAATGATGTGATGTAAGGCACTTGAATATTTTTTAACATTATATATTATGATTTATTTTTAGTTACAGCAACAATATTTTCTGAAATAAATTATGAAAAGCACTAACTGTTTCTTGTCCCAAGAACCAAACTGTCAGGCCCTTGTAGGACAAGTAAAATCCCTGCAAGTAAAGGCAGTAAGAACATTTTAATAAAAATCCACGTTAACGCTTAAAATTCACATTTTGGACACCATTTTAAGGCTACATCCATATTGATTTGTTTTTCAATTTTCTTAATCTAATGTTTGTTGACGTCAAACTGAAGTCTTAGTCGGCTTTAATGTTTTTATTACATAAATGACCAAAAACGATGAAACATCGAGAAGCAGTCAATAGCGTTTTCCCTTTGTCAACTTGAGTTTCCACATAATAAAATGGAACGTTTCGGACCACAAATTTTTCGAACCAGATTTTTCGAGTCATTTCGGTATAAAAACGTTTCGGGTCCGAGCTAAATGGCCCTTTACCAAATACGCCACATCTTGAATTAGTTCAAAATAAGTATAAGCATTTGATCATTACACCAGTTTAACTGTTTATATAGCGAACTATCACATTTTTGTTATTGTCTTATTATATTATTAGCTAGCAGATTATTGACACATGCCGTCACAAAGGAAAATAAGTAAATAAGCACAACACAAAAAATCCCTGGACAATAAGACTCACACAATGAACATATCTATTACGGAAATAAATTTTTCCAACTCTTCAATATAGACGTCAAGGTGGATATATAATATACTGACAGACTTTTGAAAAAAAACCGCATCAGCTTTTTTTTTTTGCTTTTTTTTATAGGAAAGTGCATATTCGATTTTAATTTTTTTGGCGTACTTAAGGACACACATGTCTATAATCTTGATTAAAATTGTTACTGTCACTGCCTCTGTTGTTGAGTTTTAGTCAAAAACGCAAAGTAACCCACATTCACAAAAACCACAACCCCCAGCGGCCAGTATGTTCTGGGTCCGTTTATTAGACAACATTTTAGAAATGGTCAATAATTTACAACATGACAATGCTCCTGCTCACAGAGCTGTCAGAACACCTGCATTTCTTCAGATAAAATTAATGTGCCAGACTGGCCAACGGTGTCACCCTGCATATCACCGATAGAGCAGTAAAATCTACGCACACGTACCACCTCCACTAAATGTAGCACAACATCAACAAGTCTTAGTGCAAGAATGGAATAACAGTCCACAGCAGTCAATTGCTTCAAAAATTCTGTCAATGAGACAAAGGTGTCTTGCTTGCATTCAGGCTCAAGGCCGGGTCATACACGAGATATTTAGCTCAATTATTAATTGGATAAACTGAAAAAAAATATTTAAAATGTTTTAAAAAAATAAATAATAATAAAAAAACCCTCCTTCGACGTCCCGACACGTCGATCCTCGTCGTGGATGAGTGACATGGCGTTATACAATCCCAGTGATACCTTGACTGGGATCCGGATTATGCTAAAAAAACAGGACCATTTCAAATTGTCATGTTAATTAATGCGTTTTCGACTAAAACTCAACAATAGAGGCAGTGACGGTAATTTTTTTTTCATTTGAGAATGATAGACACATGTGTCCTTAAGTAAGCATAAGTATTTAAATCGAATATGCTCTCACCCCCCCCCCCCCCCCCCCTAAAAAGAAAAAGTAAAAAAATCCCCAGCTAATTTATGCGTTTTCAAAGTCCATCAATGTACCGGCATTTAAACCTATCCACAAAACAGATGACTTTATTATGAAAAGTTTTTCAAAATATCTGGAAAAAAATCACGAAATTAGCGGACATAAATTATTTTTATGTTAGGACCGCACAAGTCAATAAGACAAAATTCCTTCTCTCACGAGTTTTAAACTCGCACATGGAACATATTTCCCAGTGAAATAATAGTATCCAAGAAGGTGATTGAGTTTAAAAACAAAATAAGATAAACATTGTTGATAGGAAAGGTTCAAACTTGGCGATATATACAAAAATAGGCCAATACTGGAGCAGACAACAATACACCAGAACTCGAGAGGAATGATGTGCATGTAGTCCGTAAGGGACAAAAACAATTCACATTCGTCAGAAGGTAACACAAGGTATGTTTCTTTTTTATCATACCTTAATCATATATTTCTCAAGGGGTGCCTGTGGGTCTGTCAAACTTTTACATATCTATAATTATATCGTCATCAAGTGTCCATCAGGAATTTTGTAAAAGATAATTGTTTCTGTAATAAGTAGTGGGAAAGCTTGATTTTTTATGTCATGTCCCGTCTTACGTCTAGATATTATAACCGTTCCTGTGTTCAAAGGATGTGCACGGGTATATTGATAGTGTGAAAAATGCAGGGGAAGCAGATTATGTAAGAAATTTTCTGAAATATTTCCAGTAAGTTAATTACAGAATACAGCATTTCTTTCTACAATTAAACTCTATGTTCTTAATAGAGCATTTATTCAGGAAAGTATTTTTAATTCGATTATATTCACTATTTATAACCGCCCTATTTTATCAGTGCTGCGCCCAAAGATAATCCGTCTAACACCGTAAATTAATACGGAAAATTACGGAAATTATTATTTCCCAGTTACGCCAATCGAAACCAACCCAATGTAATCAAAGATGGCTTTCATTGGGGAGACTATCTACGAGGTTTATCGTTTTTCATTGTTTATTTTAAACGGGGTTTTTGTCATATGTTTTCTAGTTGTTTAGAGTTTTTTTATATGTTGTCTGATTTCGAATGAAGCGATATATTAAAGGAATTCGGAATTTACTAGCTGCAAATACATCTCTTATGTCCCCGGAAGTGGAGTTTGTTTTGACACTTGACACTATTCTTTAAACGATACATGTATATCAAAACAATTATTTCTAGTTGAATTGTGAATGAAGAAATATACTTTGAGTTGATTTCATTTACAATTTTGTTGTGAATTACTCACTAAAAAACTGTCTAATTTAAACAGAGTTTAACACCAATTAAACCATTACTTTTTTTTATAAATGATTATGCAGTTTAATTTTTATGAACCGAATTTTTATAGCCAATCCAGTGTCTATTCTAGGACGCGCGATTGCGCGATTCACGCTAGTATTTAACAGATCGCGCACAATTCAAAATCATGTGCGTGAAAATCGCGCATCTATAAAAAAAGTTAATAAAACCGTAAAACTTCCATCCCGCATTATTTTTGGTTGTTTTGTTTACATTTACACCGAAAACCGAAGGGAGGTAACTGTAAGCTAATTATAATAATTTAGTACCGTATGGTACTGGTTACGTGAGTTGACGGAAATTAACGGAATGTTCCATATCAACCGGAACTAGTGTGCTAGGTGTAGGTCTGACAGTTGGGCGCCATTTTAGTGTAGTAAATAATCAAGAAAAATGAGGCAATTCCTAGCTTGGCTACGATTTAGACGTAAAAGATAGTTCGATTATTTGTATTGCCAATCCCTTTATAATCAATCGCGGCAGTTCTGTAATAATTTGTTTTCGTTTAAAAATTAAGGGGGGACAACTTCTGCTGCCTTAAATAAATATTATCGTTTTAATTATTTCATCGGTTGAACGCCTCAGTGTAAACTTAATGCAGACGATTTAACATTGGCAGTTTATATTGGCACCCTTTGATTTTGAAAATCGCCCCCTTTTTTGAAATAGAGGGGGGAAAATCACCCCTATTTTTCAATTCCTAGAATAGACACTGCAATCTAGAATCATTTATATGAATGTGAAACATGTGATATCAGTTTACCTAATTATATTATATCAAGCACAAAATTTCTCTTGCATTTTCTTTTAAATGAAAACTTGTAATTTGTAAACTGGTAGGGGACTAATTAAATATATTGACTATATATCATGATTATTTTTTGCAAGTCTTAAACAATGAAATGCGAAACATATGTATAACATAAATTATTTTTAAAATTACAGTCTAACTTGCCCATGCGACCACGTGTATTAAGCGACTTTTGTCTTAAACGACCACTTTAAATTCCCCCCGATCATTTTCTCTCTATATCTTTAATGTATTAAGCGACTTTTGCTCAACGCGACCAGCGACCGCTAATTAGTCACCTAATTGACATCAATCTTTTCATTAAACGACCACTTTTTCCTGTCAAGTAATTGTGTTTTTAGAGAACGCCACCTCGTTATGTCACAAGTGTCAGCAATCAAAACACAACAATAAACGTGTGAAAAACTCTTTTTCCCATACCGTTTTAGCGTATGCAAATGAAGTTAAGTATACGCGTGACATTTATTATCCAATAATATCGGATAAACAATGCAACGCTCCGCCCATGATGAGATGGTGTATACGCTTCGCTTGTTGACATTTAGACTGCATTGAATTGACCTTGAACTTGATCAGCCATTAAATTAATCGTAACAAATAGATGTAGTTTGTTTATTTCAAATGAAAAAATGCACAACAGAAAACATCTTCACTAATAGGGTTTTCGTGTTGGAGACAAGGAAAAACAACGGAGAAGTTAAAAAATTCTGGAAAAAATGTCAAACATGTACGTAATGGATCAAAACTGATTTGTCAATAAATATCAGAACGTTATTTTTACATTTGCATCCGTTTAGATTATCGGAGCGTACTTATTATTCAACATTTATATAAAAATGAAGTTGAAAAACAATCCCATAGAACAAAAAAAGATGTCATTTATAAATTTTGACTTTTATATCATGCTGACTGTCTTAAGAGACCGTTTCATTAAGCGACCGTTTTTGGTGTTTCCCTTGCCCGGTCGCTTAATACACGTTTGACTGTATTTTCTTCATCAATTTATTAAACAGTAACTGAAGTAATTGTGGTGTTATCTCATTGTCTAATTAGTTGTATTAACACTGAGACAATCAACTAACAGTTTGACACCACTAATATGAAATTAGGCAAAGCCTATGAACGGGGAAGTCGTTAAAAATTCCTTTCATTCTTTCCATGCACCGCTTCCGTTTTCACTCGGAACACTCGACGATTATCATTTATCCAAAAAGTAGAGATTTGTTCCGTTATCAGAATACCCCGCCTATTATCATTGAGTTACATTGTAAATGGCGGCGCCTGACTAGAACTGACACTGAAAATTTCATTGATAGGTATAGAATTCTATATTCTTTAATTGTTTTTTATTTTATTTTCTTTTAAATATACACGTGTTGTCTATAGCCGGGCAAGCCAAAGCCCTGACCCGCTTCGCGGGCCCGGTCTTTGACTTCCCCGTATTAATCAGTTGTATAAACACTGCACTTATGCATCAACAGTTTACTAATCAGTTGTTTATTGGACCATTAAAATATTTTTTGTCAACAGTCAATTTAAAAAACAGAAACTTCTCCATCAGTTTTGTTTATATAATAATGAATTTTAATCACACAAAAAATGATTATACATGTCAAATATTGAAAAAGTCACATTGCATTTAATTTAATTTAAAGAAACTTCTGATTTCAATTGCCATTAAAATTTTTGACATATATTGCAAAAGCATTACTAGCTTAAATAATTTTAAATTTTTTATCCCAATTGTTTAAAATTAACAACAACAAAAAAACATGTCACTCAAAGTTAATTGTTGTCACAGGATTGTTACGCTTTAAATTAAAATTGCCTATTGAGTCCATGTTTACAAAAGATAAAATAGTAATTATCCCCCGCCGAAAATTTTCGGCGGAGGATATAGAAATAGTCTCCGTCCGTTTGACCTTCCGTCCGTCCGTCCTTCCGTCCGAGATTTTTGTCCGGAGCATATCTCTAAAAGTATTTGAGTTATCAACTTGAAACTTCATAGGTGGATAGACCTCATTGAGGAGGAGTGCAGTGCACAAGAATGATAACTCTACCTTGCATGATTTTTGAGTTATTGCCCTTTGTTATTTTTCAAAATTGATTTTTGTCCAGAGCATAACTCCAAAAGCCTATGAGATATTAACATGAAACTTCATAGGTGCATAGATCTCACTCAGGAGGTGTGCAGTGCACAAGAATGATAACTCTACTTTTCATAATTTTTGAGTTATTGCCCTTTGTTCTTTTTCATACCTAATTTTTCACCTGAGTGGAGCATAACTCAAAAAGTGTTTGAGATATCAACATGAAATGTCATAGGTGGATAGATCTTATTGAGGAGGAATGTTGTGCGCAAGAATTATAACTCTTCCCTATACAACTTTTGAGTTATTGCCCTTTGTTTTTTTTCATGCTATTTTGTCCAGAGCTTATCTCAAAAAGTATTTGAGGTATCAACTTGAAACTTCAAAGGTGGATGGATCTCATTGAGGAGGAGTGCAGTGCTTAAGAATGATAACTCTACCCTGCATTATTTTTGAGTTATTGCCCTTTGTTATTTTTCAAAATTAATTTTTGTCCAGAGCATAACTCAAAAAGCCTTTGAGATATCAAAATGAAACTTCATAGGTGCATAGATCTCACTCAGGAGGTGTGCACTGCACAAGAATGATAACTCTACCTTTTATAATTTTTGAGTTATTGCCCTTTGTTCTTTTTCATACTTAATTTTTCAATTCAATTTTTTTCTCAAAAAGTATTTGAGGTATCAACTTGAAACTTCATAGGTGGATAGATGTTACTGAGGAGGGATGCAGCACACAAGAATGATAACCTACCCTGCATTATTTTTCAGTAATTGCCCTTTGTTATTTTCAGCCATCAGTATTCACATAGGTTTCAAATCTGCAATCACTATAGCCAACCAAAAGACCTCTTAAAATGGAATTATTCCGCTCTACTACATATACGTTCTTCCAATGAGCAAACACATTCGGCGGGGGATGGCCATGTTGACATGGCTCTTGTTTATATTAAAGTGTTATTTTAATCAAAAATATTTTTTCTTTAAGTGAAATAATGTGATAATTGCACATATGGATCATAGAATAGAAAAACACCTTATTTCAAAACAATAATAAAGATAGATAGATAATTTAATTGACGTAAACAGTACAGTTTTTTGTCATACAATTGCATATACATAAATATCATAATTTTATCATGTGATTTAACAAACAGTGAACACAATTTACATTGTCAACATATTGTTTGTGGAGGATGAATAAGATGTTTACATATATATGAATCAATATCATAAACAAAATCAAAGTGAAGTAATAAAGAAGATAAGATAACTGAAATGATAGAACTTGAAGTACTGAGTTTCAAGTCATTGACAAAAAAGTGAAATCCCCCTTTTTAATTTATTTCTATTAAATTTAGGGTCTATTTAAGTTCAATTTAATTCAATATTTAAGGTCTATTTTAGTATATCATAAGTATCAAAATATTTTTGGTATAAAAAGGGAGTGAAACGTCTTGGTGTGAACCGAACAGTCTCAATAGTGAAACGTCTGTCTACCAATAGAAGGATGTCATAATTTGTTTTACATTTTTTTTTTTTAATTTTTTGTTTTGTAAATGAAAATCTATTACATGTTTGTTACATTTGTAGATGATCCAATCAACTGTTTGGATTTTTTTTCAATTCCTTAATGATTTAATTTTTATTGCAGGATTACCTGTACAAATTTACAGGCAAAAGTCGTTCTATATTATGGGGCAAAGGTAATCCCTGGAAACAGAAATACTTTATTCTAAAGCGAGTCGGCAACAAACCAGTGCTGGAATTCTTCAATAAAAAACCAAAAACAAGAAACTCTGTACCTAAAGGTGGGTTTTAGAATGAACTGATGCTGAATACTGGACAAGTTTAATTTTTTGTACTTAAAGGCACATTATGCTGCAGAAATCCACATTTTTTAAAAAAAGAAAAATTTAAATGTCAAATAATGTGTTTAATTAATATGTTTTGATAATGGATTAAGAGTATTGTTAGAATTGTTTAACAATGAAAGAAGTAGTATTAAACATGCAGTAATTTGTCATAAAGGTACTGTAGCATAATGTAAGCAGAGTAGTATTTTGACATCCACTATTATCAATACCACTTGCCAACATAACAAAATCAGCAAATGATGATTTTTGTATATCTATATGACAAAAGATAGTTTATGTATATGTGACGTGAGAATTTTTATGAAAACTGTAACAGGACACCAAAAAGTTTTTGTTTTTGAGAAATAAAAAGGATAGCATATCTGAGGCACAGCAAACCTTAAATGTACATTTTATTTCATGCTTTCCAGTGTTTTATTGTAATATATCAGATGATTATATTCTGATAAACCACTAGTGAAATTTATAAAATATAATTTTCACTGTAGCCGGACTATATCTGAATGCGGATGAAAAGAAAATCATAACTAAATGGAATAACAGGCAGAAATTAATGCCGTCGTGCGTAAATTTTGCTTCTTTAGGAAAAGAAAGTCGATGTCATCATACATCATGTTAAAAACGTAACAAAATTAAAGAAATTTAACAGACCTATATTTCAAAATTGATTATGTGACGTCATGATGTGATGACGTCACAAAGGAGAATGCGTGACGTTACGCGGCAAAACCAGTAAAAATACTTAAAATCACTTAAAAAGCATGAAATAAAAAGAAAATTTATTTGTTTTACATATAAGATTGAAATATATTTCATTCGTGAACACCAGCTATTATATTTTCACTCGTGGCTACGCCACTCGTGAAAATATTGCATCTGGTGTTCACTCAGTGAAATTATATTTCAATCTTACATGCAAAACAAACAAATATCCTCTATGTACTTGCTTTTATAACTTTTACTTTCACTTCTATTTATCTTATATAAGAATCAACCAAACAAATATATGTTTAAACAAATTGTCAAGATGATTATCTGTTGAAAGTATATGAATAAGTCAATCACTTTGGTAATTTAGTTAAATAAACAAATTGAGTTTTCCTATTCTAGAAATTACAGATGTTACATATATACATGTTTTCAAGTCATTATATTTTTGTCTCACTTAGTCTAATGCATCTTCAGTTGTTGTTTCGATTTCTGAAGGCCATTTTGGAAATAACATACATGTATATATGATTTCTGATTTGTCACCTCTAAATAAAGATATTATTATTACTACATTTCAATTGATAATCATATTAAATTAATAAATGAGCCGCGTCATGACAAAAACAACATAATGGGTTTGCGACCAGCATGGATCCAGACCAGCCTGCGCATCCGCACAGTCTGATCAGGATCCATGCTGTTAGCTATCAGTTTCTCTACTTGTTATAGACTTTGTAAGCTAACAGCATGGATCCTGATCAGACTGCATGATGCGCAGGCCGGTCTGGATCCATGCTGGTCGCAAACCCATTATGTTGTTTTTGTCATGACGCGGCTCAAATCATTTTATTTCATTATGCATACTTTTCATTTTTGTTTATCTGCATGATGTTGCTCAATCTTTCCAGGGAAGATAGACTTAATGCCAAGTTTTCGTGTAGAAAAGGTAACAAACATGAAGAATCGAGCATACGTGTTCCAGATTACCACACCAGAAACAACAATTTGTTTGTCTACAGATGAACAAAGGTCAATGGATATATTTGTGTTCTTTCTTCAAATACAAACCAGATTAAAGGATCAGATCAGGGGTGAGTTATCAAGAGTTAGTTAAAAACATAACCATGTTTAATTATCTGAAATGGGCTTGTTCAGCTTTTAATCTGGACTAAATTGGTCATCATTCTTTAGGGGGGATTTGAAGTATCATTGAAGTACTGATGAAGAATCAAACAGTGTAGACCATAATCAGGCAGCAGGGTTGTGCCAGATGATCTGGATTTTTCTGATTGCATGGGTAGTTTCAGTATCTATCAATGACAGATCCAATTGGAATGATGGCAATTAAAAAAACTACAAATTTATATATAGTGTTGTAATCAAGAACATTATTATTTAACAGGTGCTCGTGTTTTTTCTTAATTGAACAAATTTTGGAGACTCTCTATCAACAAGACTTCATACAAACAATTTCAATTTAACACTATGAGAAAGTTTCGTTTGTGTTATTTAATCATACTTTAACCTACAATCTAAATCTTATGGGTCACCTTACATGATTGTATACTGGTGGTAACCATGTATTTTTCATCATTTTTACCATTTTTTTAAGTAACTTTAAATCAAACATTTTCTAAGATTTAAATTTTAACCATTATTGCAATTATTGTTTATAACCATTTTATAAGTTTTATTAATTCTAACTTTCTGAAAAAAAATTGTTAGGTTAACCCTTGATTATCATCAAAATAAATTTAACAAATTTTCATGTTTTTCAGAAGATTATTTTGTCGTACACCCAGAGAATTCAGAAGCTCAGAGACGTATAGGTGCCAAGGGAACTAACTGTGTACTACATATATCACCATACGGTATAACGTTAGCACTACAGGTGAATATCTGTTTACCTTATTTATTCAAGTATTAGAACATTTTTCTTAAGTTTGATTCTCTTGAAATATTTTGGTTTTCTGGAGGCACGCCACTTTAACGAGTATTGATTCTACATGTATTTATAAAAGAAAATAAAATAATAATGGTCTTGAGTTATGTAGAGCTCAAATCTATGACCTCAGGCCACTAGGCCATCACTGACAAGTTAAGCCACCTCTGTCCTGTCTAGATTTCCTTACTCTCTAAGGCCACACATCTCATTATAAGACCACCACTCCTCTGACAAGGTCACCTCTGTTTATAAGGCCACCTCTCTCTTTTTATGCCAACCCTCTGCTTACTACACTACCTCATTTGCAAAAGGCACCTCTCCATACAAAACAGGTTGAAAAACATGAACTTGACATACAAGAAATAAATGAAATAAATGAATATATAATTAGCATAGATTTAGTAATGACATTGTTCAATTTTATGAATTTAGTCAAACAGAGCAGTGCTTGCTCAGTGGCCGTTGAAGAGCATAAGATCTTACGAGAGCTCCGAACAAGGACAGTTGTCAATCGAGGCCGGGAGAGTAGCACCCATGGGTGACGGGTTGTATATTTATAAAACAGAGCCCGGTGAGGATAACCAGATGTATGATTTGATTGACAGATATGTTCTAGATGCTTTAGAACAAGTTCAGGTTAGTAAACTGTTAGTTTTTCCTCTAAAGCGTTGTAATGATTAGTGAACTTTAAACAAATGATGTTGCGTGCTTCCATTGTAGTAAAGCTATAATATTTACACACATTCAATATTTGGTATTTTATTGTTGTGGTATTCAGGAATAAGTCAATTTACAAAATTTAGGATCTATTGAAACTTTTATTTTGTCTCATGTAAGATTCTTTTTTGCATCAAAATTATTTGCATTTTATTCTTTTGCAAAAATAGATAATGTACAAGTTTAAGAACTCACAAAGTTTTATTTCCACAACATCAAGTGAATTCATAATAAAAGAAATGTTGGTGATACCACACAGGTGCTGGCCGCTTGTTACATATATAAGTAATATCCAGTAGATGAAGGGTCTTTCATCATCATTAAAACTGAAAAAAATGGCTATATGATTTTCACAGTATGCACAGCATGAAACCCAATCACCATTAGAGATTATTTGAAGTATTTTATTGTTTAAAACCAAATCATAAAAAAAAATTAATATTTCATTACATAAAACCCAATCACAATGAAAAAAAATAAATTTGTTAGACTTTATTAAAAAAATTGTGTGACATATTTTATTACAGCCAGCTTTAAGGGGTGGTTCGGAAGAAATAGAGGATTATGTAATAGAAGCCGAGAGGTTATTGTCCCTTACTGTAGTGTCAGCATGTACTGCAGAGAATCCCGATATCCATATTATACTGAGGGAAAACTGGAGTACTGATGTACAAACCCCGACAGGTTAAAACACTTTTTGTAAAGTTTTGAATCAGGTTTTCTGGGACCACTTTGAAAGAACATTGACTTTCAGTCTCTTGAAAAAAAATTTACAATCATTTATTTAAGTCCCAGGAAATGGACTTGAGAAGTGATTAATATATAAGTTGCAAAAATTTGTTAAACAATTGAGTTTAAAAGCAACATTTTGCCTGAGAAATTCATAGTTTTTTTTTTAATTCTTTAGAAATGACAAGCATGTGTTTAATAATGTTTTGATAATGGATTAAGAGCATGTTAGATGTTTGAGAACTGAAGAAATAATTATTGCACTGAATTTGCAGTAATGTGCTGTAAAGTTTGCAAAACGTAAACAAAGTAGTATTTTGACTTCCATACATATTACTAATTCACTTTTATTATACCTATTGCCAACAGAGCTAAAGATGCAAAAGATAGTTCATCTCTATGGCAGATGAAAAATTTGTATTTTGCATTTCAGAGGCATAATGGGCCTTTAAATAATTATGTTTAAACTAAGGTCTAAAATCATGAAAGATTGTTTGTTGTAGAAATTACTTCAAAAATGGAAAATAAGTGATTATATACAAGAAAAGTATGAAAATCACACAAATATCTCTGTTACAGGTAACGCAAGACCACGACAAATTGTTCATACCAGACTTACATCGGCTGAATCTGTCGGAAGTCTGAATAGTCAGAATAGGTAACTATAGTAACGTTCTACTGAATTATTACGTTTTGAAAATCAGGGATTTTTCAAAACGTTTCTTGACCTTCAATATTGCATTTTCAAAACCTGCTTTAACTAATGAAGACTTTTTGGCCATATAGTTTTGGTTACAAACTGCTACAGACTGTGGTATAATTCTTTCATTTCAGCCATTAACTATATATACACGGCCATATATCTTATTAAAAAGTCTTAACCATAATTATATTCACGATCATATGTCTTATTAAAGTCTTTATAACAAGTTTATTACTCTACACAACTGCTTTCTTGGTTTAAAATAGAAATTATTTCATAAATTTGCTGAAGCCATGTATGTAGATAATACATATGTATATAATTTTGTCGTGATCGTCCAATGAGAATCAATGTTACAAAAATACAGTATTAAGAAGGTTTACATGCAGAACAATGTTACAGTGTTATCATGGTTTGTGTTTATATAGTTTTACAGGACCACAGTCTATTCCGTCAAGACTTATCAACGAAACGTCATCATCCAGGAACTCTCCGCAGGTGCCTCGATCATTACCTCCCTTTCAAAACTCGCCAAGTCTTGTACAGAGACAAGGATTGAACCGAAGTCAACCGAACCTAGCAGACAGGCCGCCTGCCCCTCCTCCCCCTCCCGCTGCATCAAGTATACCATTAAAGATTCCACAGCGCTCCATGTCACAGCCTGGGGGCCAGTATCTTAGGATGAATTCTGCAGGTAACATGTGATTCTATTTTGTAATTTTAAACCTCCTTGCCAGCAAACAAGTGTAAAACAAATTTTCAAAAATTTGAATTTTAAAAAATGTGTTAAATATGTTAAATAATCACAATCTGAATAAATAATGCTCTCTATGTTACATGTATATATGCAAAATTATAGATCTGATGACCACCGTATATGTTTGGCCTTCTTTATAATTCTGATTTCCTAAGAAAGCTATTTTTAGCCATGCAATCAAACTAGTTTTTACATAGGCATCAGAGGAAGTATCAAAATACCGTTATATTTGGAAGTTAAACAATTTGTTGTTGTTTTTTTTTGTAAGAAGAAAAATGTTTGAAGTAATGTGTTACAAATTACTTGAAAAAAATAGATAAATTAATTTTTAATGGGCAAGATTCTTTTGCCAGTTTACCTGTCTGCTAAAAGGACAACGCCATGTTTGTTATCCAAATCATGAAAATTACCTACTCGGCACCGGTTTTCCCAGGGTTAAAATTAGAAACCATATCACTTATTCAAAATAAGAAAGCTCGCCAATGATTGGCTGTATAAATAGTCACCAGAAATAATTTTGGATATGGTCACGTTAAGAGCTGATTTTGATCAGATTGAAATATGATAGAACCTACAATCAATGTTATGTACAAAGTAAAAATTTTGGCATACCATTATCAAACTGTAGTTTCTTTGGATAATTAATACCTTAGGATAGCTTAATTCACTAAATGTTCACCATATATTATATGAAATGTATTCTTATTGGAACAATTTTCAAATTTTGTAAAAATAATCATTTGGAAATATGCTGCTTTGGTTTGAACATATTTATTCAAGCTTGATTGTAAAACAGTTTTTTGCAAGTTACATTTATCACTTTTGAGCCTGCTCTCTTTAACAGACCTGTTCTGGTGTCATATGATTAGGGCTTGAACCCACAATTTGTGGGCTGAGAGAGGGACCTTAGGCATTAAACCACCACTTCCTTAAGCTGCTTGAATGAAGAAGATGACATTTAAGTTCAATAATAGGCAAGATTAGCAGATAATACTAGACAAAGTCCCACATATTGTGTGAACATGTATCAATTAAGATGGACTGGGATCTATTAAATTGATTCTTCCACAACTAAATCTTGAAAGTCACCATATTACCTTTACAGTGTCAACATGACCTTTAAATCCAACAAAGAATTAAACAAATGAGCCACGTCATGACAAAACCAACGTAATGCGTTTGCGACCAGCATGGATCCAGACCATGCACATCAGCGCAGTCTGATCAGGATCCATACTGTCCGCTATCAGTTTCTCTACTTGTATAAGGGTTTGTAAGTGAACAGCATGGATCCTGATGCGCAGGCTGGTCTGGATCCATGCGGGTCGCAAACGCATTACGTTGGTTTTGTCGTGACGTGGCTCATATATTATTTGCCAAATTGTATACTTATAGTTATTTTATTAAAGGCCCATTATGCCCAAGAAATGCTTTTATTTTTATTTCTCAAAAGCTTTTTATTTTCAGTGTCTTATTTTCAGTGCCGTATTTAAGTTTCCAAACAGTTAATTACTAATTGGCAAAATATCAGAGCCAACTTTTGCATCTGTTTCATTTTGAAAAGTTGTACAGTTATAGTAATTTAATATTTTGTATGGAAGTCAAAATACTACTTTGTTGACATTTCGCTTCTTTTATGACAAATAATATTACATTCAGTGCAAACTTCTTCATGTGATAAGCATTTTAATATATTCATAAACCATTATTTAAGTAGTATAAAACTGTGTTTGCACTTTTTTGATTGAGGAATTTTTTTATTTCTTTTAAGGCATTATGTGGCTTTTATTAGAAATCATTATACCATTTTAATATTACAAATATTGTTTGAATTTCAGCAAGTACACCAGGCACGACTGGTTCACCATTTACACCAACTTCTGCAGACTGGGTACCCCCTCCTTCATTCAGGTAAATGTATCATTAAATTAATAAGTATTTTGTACATTAGTATTGTATTAGCTGCAATAATGAAAAAAATGGAACCAGACAAAGTGCACATTCATCTTGGCTGGACTCAAGGTTCTGTTTGAAATCTATGGGTTTTTCATTGGTCAGCATAAAAACTATGATAGTTTCTGACCAATCAAATGCCTGAAATTTGAGTTTGAGCTTTAAGAATTTCTTCACAGCCTCTAGCCTTGATGAGACTCCATTGTTTTGGGTATTTTATTAAAGACAATGTGTTATATCTTTTTGTCTTGATTTGTGAACTTTAATACAGTATATTATAATACCAATGATTTTCTCACTTTATTGAGAAAAGGCCTTGCCTCTTGATTTTGTGAAGAATTATCCCTAAATCTGCTGGAAAGTAAAACTATTGGAAGTAAGAAAGCGGGTGTAACTTTGGAAGTTTGGGAAATATTTTAAAGAAAATTACTATTGGGGAAAAAGCCCTTTAAAGGTCTGTTATATTAAGTCATGAATCACTAAATACTTTAGTTGATAACAAGGTTTTATTTGATAAACATTGGCAAAATTATAGAATTGAAACATAGAATTACTTTTCTTATTTTTAATACTACAGGGATGCTTTAAGACAGAAATCTACGTCCCCGATATCTGAGAACGGCCCGTACAACCAAGATTCTTACCTGACACCAACATCTCCGGGGCTGATAGCTACATCCACGCCGAATGACAAACATTCAGGTGTTCGACCTGTAATGAAAGATCAGTATATCACGCCACTATCAGTGTCTGAAGGTCAATCACCAACCAATGGAAATAGTGCTGTGAGACTGACTAATGTCACAGGGAGACCGAACTTTGTGAAAAAAGAATTGCGTCTATCGCCAACAAATGTTAATAGGGTTGAACATGAAAATAAAACTTCTCCTGCTAAAATTAGGTCAAGGAGATTGAGATCTGCAAGTTGTGAAGATTTAAGCGATTATCTGAGGTCCGTCGTGTATGACCCAATTTCCAAAAGTATGAATGATCTTTTAAATGACAAAGATGATGACGACGATTATCTAGGTCCCGAGCCGTTTCCACGGTTACAAAGTTTTTCAGGTGTAATAGAGAGTGATCATAATCCGGAAAATTATTACAACATTGAAGGGTTGAAGGGAAAAATATATGACGGGCCAGGATTGCCATTTGCTGAATTACGGAAAAAGTTTTCCAAAAGATCGCTGTCCAGGATTCGTAGATCTGTTTCAAATCCTAATTTTATTGGTTCGCTAAGTCTTGAAAAGTTAAATTATGCAAGGGTCAGTATAGGTATAACAACATCGAGTCCCAGTGAAAGTAGGTCATCTTCCCTTGCCAATTTAATACCGGAAGCATTAAAAAAACATCTGTCGTCTAAGGACTCTAGTCATAAAGGTTCACTCAGTGCGCTATCAAGTGGAGCGGTTTCTAAAAATAGCAGTCTTTCTAGCAGCAGAACGAGTAGTGCGCATGCCAGCCCGTATAATAGTTTGTCAAGGAAACATAAACATGCTCCGAAAGAAGATATCGTCGGGTCGACCAGTGTCAAAGGTATTAATTTAACACGTAGGAGTAGATCTTTTAGAAGACAAAAACATCCAGAAGATGATCATTTAAAACACGGACATAGAAAAGGGAACCAGTCTGAGCATAAAGCGGACGTAACCAATGGGGAAGCAGAGGTACACAAAGGGGAACCAGACAAACACAAAGGGGAACCAGACATAAGTAAACAGGAACCAGGTGTATCTAATGAAGATGCACAGAGTGACTCCAAAATGAATCCAAGTAAATTACATAGTAAAAATAAGCAGGAAACTCAATGTACTGAAGACTCTTATCAAATTATGTCCGATCTTGGGGCAGGAAGTAAAGTTTCGAAACCTAATAAAACAATGCCAAAGCCTGCGCCCAAACCTAAACCTAAACCTGTTGCCAATGGCAGCAATAAAGATCAAGGATCAAGTGCAACTTCAGCATTATAAATGCTACATCATAAACATTCCAAAAGGATTGTCATTATTTTTTTATTATTTTTTTTTTACCATTTTGAGATTAACATTTCTTCCATTACACAATATGCCATTAATAATTACTACAGGGTTACAGTTCTGGTCTATAATTGATTGTTAGTAGGTAACATTGCAAACATATTTTGTTTTATTATGGTAAGACCTGAAGAGGTTTTTTTTAAACACTGAGACTTTCTTTGATTTGTTTGATTTTTATGTCAGTATAATGAATGGTATTTGTCATAGCTATTATAGATCTAACTCTAAAATTATCAAGTGTAATGATATAGGATATATATTTATATGCAATGTAAAAGCAGGGACGGTAGATGATTTTTGATTATGGTTGTAAAATATGAATACATATAAATTACCTGTCTGATGAATGTAGGCTCTATAAATTTTTTGTTGTACACAATTAAATTTATAAAATATTGCATGGTTTGTTGCAAAGTGCAAAAGCCGATGCTAGAGGGTGTGGATGGTAACTTGCATTTACCACTACCGTCCATGAACAGGCACAATCAAACCAAGCCTGCAACATTTTCAATTTGGCTGGTTTGGCGAATTCTTCAGGGATTCGATTTTTCTCAGTTTTGCAGGAATAATCTGAAGTGTCAGTCTGTCAAAGATTTATTATAATATGCATATTTAATTAAGTAGGCGGAGCTAATCTCTGTAATACTGACAAGGCCACACCTACAGGGCATTATTGAATCATCAGCTCATCATTAATGATTTGTAAGCCTTGCATAATAAGAACTATGCATTTGTTAATATTGTTTAGTGTTAAAACAGTGCTATACCAGAATTTGTTATTCAAATTTGTGCTGTGTAAATCAAAAGGTTTGTTCCAATTTTTAATGTGCTCTATGTATGTGATGTTTTTTCCATGTTTTTATGTATGAAACTTACTTTTTTAGGCATTTATAAGTGTGATAATCAAAATATTTGTACAGATTTTTATTTGCATCAAATGCAGCAGCTAGTATAGTTTTGTCAAGAGTTTATGATGACATATTTGCAATTTTGAGCTATTTATAGATGTGTTTAACCTTTAACTTCCTAGAAGTGAAAGTGATTTGACCTTTGCCACTAGTGTAGAGCCAGGCCAGCCTGAGTATCTGGTTTAGTCAGCCAAGGCTCTATACTGTTGGTAGCTCAATACACCGATAAACATTTTCCATACTAGTAGACGACAGGCTATTCTTATCATTAATGTTTTGAGTAAAGATAACCAGTTGTGTATCTCACTGTATAAATCATATGCAAACTGGTTTGACATATGGTAGGGTTAACAGTTAATTTAAATATTCTGGTGCCAAAAAATGTGTTGAAGTATATACTGTGACGAAGCTAAGACCGAAAACTTTCCATTGGTGTAATAAACTTTTAAATCGAACATTAAGTCACAACAAACTAGCGGTTTAAAAACAGCTTAATTTGTATTGTTTTAGTGTAAGAGATATTGATTTTATTGAAAGGTAAGGGAAACAACTCGAATTTTTTCACTTGATATACATCTCTAATTATCATTCCATCTAATGCTTTAACACTCATCACCCTAAAAATCTTTAATGGACTTGTCCACAGGACCATTCATCATTTTAGAAAAGTGAATAACAGAACATCAATAATCTAAGAAAATGTTAACCAAATCTCGTGTTTCATTTCGAATCACTACATGCCTGATAATCTACAGCCTTTGTTGCAACAATGTCGTGTTAAAACATTTGATATGTTTAATTTGTTTATTATATTTCATACTAGCATATACGTTTTATACATAAAACATATGTTAATATTGTTGTGTTACCATGGTAATAAAGTTATTTTTTAGATTTCTGTGATTGTACAATGTAATAAGTTTTATAATTTTGTGTAAATAAAGTGTTCATTATTGTATATGATGTAATAGATTCACTTTTGAGTATTTTATATAAATGGTTACTTACTGGAACATCTTTGTTACCTTTTGGGCTTTAAGATGTTTTTGTCAAGGGATTTGTTTTTAATACTGTTAAACATAAGATAATTGAGTATGATGTTTTTTTTTCTATAGTTTTTCCAAAGCATTTTTGTCTGTCTTCTATATTGCCACAGAGGGGTCACACAGAGGGGTTAACGGTGGCTAAGTGGTTAAAGCTAATGACTTGAATTCACTTGCCCCTCTCCACGATGGGTTCAAATCCAGTCAACGACTTAAGACTCTGTCATGTGCAGAATGCTTTCCTGAGCTACATTTTCTGACTTGAATATCTTACATATTTAATTTGTGGTTATCTAAAAGTATAATGAACCTCAATTGTTAGATATTGTTTTCATTTTTGTTGGATCATTGAGCCTTAAAGCAGCTCTTCCCAACGGTTTTCGTATAGCAATGCTGTTTGTTTACTGATTTTTCTTGTCAGGTCTGAAAACATTTACAGATCAATCAGTCTTGAAAGATAATCTGTCAGTGAAGGCCATATAATCAATAACTAAACTAGTCGTACTATGCACAGATATTGTCAAAATGTTAAAACATGACCTATATTGTTCTGAAATCGGGTCAGATAACATGATGAAAAACAGGAGTCATTTTAGACTCACTTTTAGATGTTAAAAACAAGATCAGGGGCTGTAGTCTTCCAAGTTGTATATTTATATATTTTTGTGTAGCATAATACATTTGTAAATTTTATCTATTTTATGAAAGGTTGATAATGTTTTATATTTTATCTTTTACATGATTCGGATATTTTGATAATTATAATATTTGAGCCGTTCCATGACAAAACCAACTTAGTGTGTTTGCGACCAGAATGGATCCAGACCAGACTGCACATCTGCACAGTCTGGTCAGGATCCATGCTGTTCACTTACAAACGCTATAACAAGTAGAGATACTGATAGTGAACAGCATGGATCCTGAGCAGACTGCTCAGATGCGCAGGCTGGTCTGGATCCATGCTGGTCGCAAATGTACTGTGTTTGTTTTGTCTTGACGTGGCTCATATACATATGTAATTATATACTGTGAGAGGAAAAGCTTCAGAACTGTAATTACTCATATATAAGACTCATTGTCTATTCTAAATCATGAAAAATGACCCAAAATTAAGAAGCATTGCAAAACTATTCACTCAAATTTTGCTTTAAATAGCACATAAATATGATTTTCAAGTAATTTCTGAGAATATTTCTTTGAAAATATTTTGCACATATTTCTTTTTTAAAGTATGTAAAAATTCCCATGTTTTGTTTCTTATGATTTTTGACCATGGTGAAGTTCCTTTAAAACAAGTCTTGTCAATAGTTAATTTTTGTTACATCAATTTTTATGATCTGCTTGTAAGATCTACATTTTGTAGTTTACAGTTTAACTGTATACATTTGAGCCGTGTCATGAACAAACCAACATAGTGGGTTTGCGACCAGCATGGATCCAGACCAGCCTGCACATCCGCGCAGTCTGATCAGGATCCATGCTGTTTGCTATCAGTTTCTCTACTTGTAATAGAGTTGTTAAGCGAACAGCATGGATCCTGATCAGACTGCGCGGATGCGCAGGCTGGTCTGGATCCATGCTGGTCGCAAACGCACTATGTTGGTTTTGTCGTGACCGACTCAATTTCAGCCAGGATTTGATCTTGTGCTTCCAGGGTGTTCATAATAATGCAGAGTCTTTCATATAGATTCTATTTGAAAGACCCTGTGATATTAAAATATGTTAATATTAATTTGTTTATATGTAAATATAACTTGTTATATATGTATATATGGGATATATCTCCCTGAGAAAATTTGTTGAGTTTAGATAATGTCAGTTTGACTAATGGACCGGGCCAGTCTGATTTTATTCCTACCCACTGTGGCACTTGCCATTGAGTAACACTAATCTGTAATTGAGCCGTGCCATGACAAAACCAACATAGTGGGTTTGCGACCAGCATGGATCCAGACCAGCCTGCGCATTCGCGCAGTCTGATCAGGATCCCTGCTGTTCGCTTACCAACCCTATTACAAGTAGAGAAACTGATAGCGAACAGCATGGATCCTGATCAGACTGCGCGGATGCGCAGGCTGGTCTGGATCCATGCTGGTCGCAAACGCACTATATTGGTTTTGTTGTGACATGGCTCAATTTTGCTTTCCACTTCAAATACCATGATTTACTTAATTAAGGTGCTCAATTTACAAAAGTTCTGAACATCACATTTTGACATCTGTGCAAGATCTGTATAACTAAAGCATAGATTTTTACAGTATTATTGAATTTCATTTTTGTAATATTACAAAATTGCTGGTTCATGTTTTATTTGTCGATCAATTTCATATTAAGGTTTTTGCACCTTATCCAGCCGACCTCGTGCAAAAGTTGATTTATCACATACCCATACTGCTTTAACGACTCTGTAAAAAATTATATAGCACAAAAGTGCATATATTTTGACGTGACGTCATTTGACTTATACAAACTTAGAATAAAGACCCGCTAAATGTTAGTGTTACATTATAGGCACGTCAGTGAAAAATTAATTCTTTTTCACTTTATATAGTCTTTATTTTGGGTATGCGATAAATAGAGTATTTTATTTGTGTAGGTTCATGCATTACTAAAATTGAACTTGAATAAAGTAATATGGCATAATATAATTTTATACAACTTGTTGAATAACTTCAGTGTTGAACTAATGCACTCATTTAATATCCTCTACTTATCAACTGGATAGCAAACTGTATCAATGTGCAGGCTGGCCTGGCTCTATACTGGTTTTAAAATTTGAATTGTCCAAAAAAAAATCCTTCAATTTTAACAGTGAAAGATATACAGTGAAAGATATACATTGATGATATACTGTGAGAATAAAGTCACTGGTAAAAGTTGAATTACATAAAATCGTCTGTGCACTGAAAATGTTTTTTTTTTTTATGAATGATTTTTACAATGTCTTCATTCGTATTGTCGTATCAAATTAGAGCACCTTTGTGCGTTTTCATAAATTATTTTTTCTAAGGAAAACAAAATATTTTCTAAACATATAATCCAGGGTCCTTTGTAACTGACATATAGTTTATAATACATATGTTTGTCATTCGTTTGTAATATGTTTGTTTTGTTTATTGGAACTGAAATTTTATATTTTAGCTTGAAGCTTTTATTATAGTTAAATTTTTTTTTTTTAAAATAAAACTATATATCCAAATATCTTTTTTGGTTTTTTAAGACAAAGCACCTTTTAAAAAAAAAATCACCTATTAAAAATCCCCTATGGGGGTTAGCAGAAGCAAATACATTTTAAAGCACGGGCAAA